TACGATTGACTACATTAAATCACTTTAGAATTAATGCTAAGCCATCATATGCCAGTTAAAAATGAATCAAATATGTGAATTAAATAAGTGATAGATATCAATATGAAGTGTTTTTGATTAAGAGGTAAAGAGACAGTCTGTTAAGTGGTACAAATTTAATTAGTGGTTAGACCTAATGGTTGTGCTTGATAGAAATAATCAGAACTATTAACAAGGTGATCTGCTGTGTATGTCTATACTCAATTTATTACTCCATCTATTCTTTATTTTTCACGTAATTGGTTTAGTTAAAGAAGTTTTGTGGAAATTTACACGACCTGTAGGTTTTATTTGTTACAGCATAATCTCAGTTTAACTGATATTAGAAAACAAGAAGCATTAAACGTCCGTTTCATCCTAATGTAAAACTACTCATTAATGTAGATTCAGAATTATAAGAGATAAAACAGTTGCCACCAATGGTATCAGATAGATATCGCTCTGTAACACGAACCGATAGAATTTTGGTTTGCACTACTGAAATCCGATTGCAGTAATTTTAATGGGTAGATGTTCACTAGCAGAAATGATGATTCTTAGTTTAATCCATTGAAAATTTGAGGGTATGAATTGTTCAGGAGTCCAAGAGTAGAATAAAACAGATACTCAGTAATATATTTTTTGTTGACAACTCCATTGAAAGAAATGTGTAATATTTACAACTTATTATTTCACTGATTGAAATCATGAGTCAATTGAAGCTAGACCACCATGGAAAACCTGGAAGCACTGGACGGCCATTTCGTCCTAGTATGGGACTATTCAGCAGTGAGCACCAACGGTCCCGCAGGTCACGAGATTCGAACCCAGGACCTATCAGCGCTTAACCAACCAGACCACTGAGCTGGCCGTCATTCAACGGTGTTAATGTCTAACTTTAACCAATCCACGAAGTTGCGCCACCGTACACCATTGTCTTCAGTGAGTTGATATTTCGCAACAGACCTGGCTGAACTCCACTGGTAACGGCTTCACACTAGAACTCCAGAAGTATCTCCTGAAGTCAGTTACTAGTGACTCATGGTTTTAACTTGTGAAATTTCTAAAAATCTACACAAAACCCATTCTGATAAAACATTTAATTGACAAATCGCTGATTGTTTAAAGTTAAACTTGTAGAACATCGGTTGAATCACGGTACGACGATTTGCAGGTTAAACGTTTGTACGCAAAACCAAAGGTCCTGAGTTCGACCACTTATGATGAGGTAGTGAATGAATACTATTAGGGAACACCGTATTATAACAAAGCAGCTGACCAGTGCTTCTAGTTTTTCAATGGATATTTAACTTAGATAAGTCCACGATTTCAAAAAATCATATACCCATAACTTTTGAATTGCTGTTTGTTTCTAGAACTAGTAGATTTTTCGGAGTTTGATTTATCCACATGATAAAAATTAACTTTGCAGATAAAATTATTCTGATTTGTAAACATTTAAGAAGTTTCAGGCAGACATAGATGGTGGATAGCAATGGAGTCCGAGATGCGCATCCTGTCTTGCTTGGGACTCGTCTTTTGTATGTACCTGCATCGCAGAGTTGATTTTCACCCTGGTACCTGACCCCAGTACCTTCGGTTTTAAATGCCATCTTTTTATCCACTTAGCTACGGAGTATAGGTAGCCATTAGCTTGCATAATGGTGTTCATTTTAATAGCAATTTATTGTTATTGTTTGTCTGGATCTTCCCATTCATGTTAAGGATTATAATTTATCATTCTCCTTTACGATATGTACATCGTGATTGGATTTCCTAGATATTGCCCGTAAGTCACAAGCATTTTAAGCAGAAGCGGATGTTAGATAGCAGGGGATTTCATGACGTTTGGATAATACGATAGCGTTTGAAGTGAACAGTAATGGGTTTGAGTCGTGTAGTGAATGAAATTACATCCAGCGAACGAAACCCGAATGAAATGAAACGCGCTTTCTGGATTCCACTGCTAGCTATCTACGCTTAGAAGTTTTGTGACTGAGCGACAATATAAAGGCAATCTGCACAGGATAAACATATACCGAAAGATACAGATCAATTACCAACCTAAACATCAATGAGAAGATCCAAACAACTAATATATATATATATATATATATATATATATATATATATATATATATATATATATACAAAATACTTTATATCTCAAATTACCCTCAATCAACTTGAAGAAATTCAAACTGAGCTTAAACACTTTAAACTAAATAAGCAATAATTTATTCCAGTAAGATTTATTTGATTAAAAAATAGTTTGCACAATGATAATTGCCAAATTTCTAATAATTAAAAAACTTCAACAATAAGAAACCTGGAACAAACGTACTGTAATTGGCCAGAAGTTGTTTTGTTCTAATCAAATAAGCATTTCTTATGTGAGCTCTACATGTTGGATTCTGAAATAGTGAGATATGTACTTCATGAATTTACTTTTGTAAATAATGTGTGCTGAATAGTTTGATTTGACAAAATCAATTGCTTTTGTTATACAATTGTATTATTCTTGATAGCTTATTCTAATATATAACAACTGTAATAACATATGAAGAAAATTTACATAAGTATAACATTTAAGTAGTCATCTTATAATAACTGAATTTTCTGTTATTCTCATACTTGACATCATTCATATTACGTTTATTACATTACATAACAACCTTTCTCCTTAAAAGTTACATAATAGATATTGTCAAAAAACGGAAGAATAATTGGATTAGTGAATGATTTATGCTTTAGATATAAAGAAAATGTTTATCGTTAGTATGACATAAAAGCGGATAGTTAGTGAACAAAGCATTTAATTAGTGAAAAAAGGAAAACAAACTACATTAACATAATTACACAATCGAATATATGAGCATATGTTTCCATGTTAACAAGCGATTATTTGATTTTAGGCGTTTTCTTAGCGAGTTATTCTTCTATGGGATAGGGTCGCTAACCTTGTGCTCAACCCTTCTCCTTCATCCGGGCTTGAGACCGGCAGTAGCCTCACAGGGCTTCAGGCGGAGTTAACAAACAGGCTTGACGGCCTATGCTCCATTTGTAGTAGTAAGTGTAATTAAGCAAATAATTTGCTTTTAAGTTATACTTGAAAAAAAAGAAAAACTTTAATTTTCATATTTTCATGAAATGATATCTTGTTTCAAGAAAACTGTTAGGTTCGTTAAAGCTTGAATGCTACTACTGATTCGGCTTATTCGGAATGTGACAAAGGATCAGGATTCACAGACTCGATAGACTATTCTGGTCCGTTGTCCCCGACTCAGCTAACGCGATCAAGAAGTCCTGGTAAGGCGTAGAAAGTGTATTCTACAGGCAAGCAGCAGATACCAGATCAGGTCAGGTCAGGTCAATCAGCCACACAAGTCAAGCGTATTTATACAAATATTTATAATCGATAGTGTCATGGTAAAATGTTTTAAACATTAATCAATAAGTTCATCAATCGACAGCCATTCAAATATTTAATCGATAAGTTCATCAATTGACTGCCATTCAAATATTTAAACATTTAATCGATAAGTTAATCTATAAGATGAAATTACAAAATATGAGTTTTGGGGATCTATCGTCCCCAACAAATACAGTCACTTGTTTATTCTTTCCTGTTAATTGGAAACAAGTAGAACTCAATGTCTTATGGATAAATAACAACATTATGGAATCTTAATATTATTCATCCAAAAATCTTAAAAGAATAACTAACCAGTTATCTGAAAAATAATATTTTTTTTATTTTTGATCGGAATAACACATTCATCACTCATAATCTGAGTTTACTATAATTGTCATTCATACAAATGCAAAACATCCTCTTATATAGATTGATGAGATTTGTAAGTAATTGTCTAAGACTTATGTTATTCTGTAATGTTGACTTGTAACCTTTTTTAAAAAAGAAAGTATTTAAATTATTCATAACACAGTTTTTGTACGATGATAAGGACCCTTAATTTGTATACTGCAAATCACTTTCGTTCTTAATGTACGGTTATCTCAAAATTTTAGAGTATTGGTGAAACTATGAGTGACAGTTAAAAAGATTACACTGACTGATCATTGTGTAGTGATCAATATCATGTATGTTTGATTTATGATACTGATTGTATTTTACTGATGTATCTACTTTATTCCGGCTGAATACATCAGTGACCATGTCTCAAACAATGTCTGTGTATGATATTGATTCGAATCCATGTGAAACATTAGTCATTTCAAGATTGCAAGTGACCCTAAGTGGTTAGTACTAGGCTGTTTAAAACTAAAGATGCAGAATTCTTTTGGAAACTGTCTTCGAAACTGTTTTCCAGCTCCAAAAATTATCAATAGTTTTGTATACAAAACTCCTTAGATAGAATATAATAATGTGAGAAGGTTCCCCCCTGATAAGTGTATAACTTTATAACAGTGTCACAATTTAAATATATGTTATTTGTTTTGTCATCGACAATTTGTAATGAATGTATTTTTATCAAGGAAAATTCATTGGATTTGCGTTTGACGCTTCTTTAACAAGAAGAATCACTCATTAGATCTGGTTTTCATTTTTCCTAAAATTGTTCATATAAAAAACTAACATTATAAAGGATTATGGAGACTACTGAGTATTACTGATACTACGAACAGATCTTGGTTAAAACATTTATTGAAAAACAGGAAGAGTTGAATATCAGTTTTGTCCTAGAATAGGATTCTGCAGCAATGTTTTGTCTACGACTTCAGCAAGAATTAAACTCAAAGCCTTCAGGTTTGCGCACGAACACCTAACATCTAGACAAATGTTCTAGAGATCAATTATACAAAATCCCAAATCATTTAATAGCGTTTTCAATGAATGTCCAACTTGGGTAGGTTCATAATATCATTAAAGGGAAAAACTAAAGTATAATAATTATTTACATTATACATAACATACACTTGTATTGATTATTCTTTTGTTTATCTATTTTATTTATCTATAGAAATATACCCAAATTACTGAAAGCATCATACGCCAAATTTTCAGTATCTTACGGTGGTTATCTACACGAAAAACATGTAAGATTATCAGAAACATATTTTTTAAAATTACTAACAATATTGTTTACTGTTATTTGCTCATTAGATAATATTGATGAATAATTATCTTTCACTGGTTGAAATCATGAGTCAATCGAAGCTAGACCACCATGGAAAACCTGGAAGCACTGGACGGCCGTTTCGTCCTAGTATGAGACTCTTCAGCAGTACTTCAATTGACTCAGTGAAATTTTTAAAATCTCCATAAAAGCCCTTCTGAGAATAATTATCTGAAGGTCACCCTTTTAGCAACCTAATTTAAATGAACTTCAATTTGGAATTTATGAACTGATTATATTTTACTTATTAAGATAATGTGTATCTATTACAAATTGTAGCTTTTATTGAAATAATTATGAGGGAGTAAAAATACAATTAGGAAGTTATCTAAATATATATATATGCACTTTGTATGTTATCAATAGTTTTTTATCAATTTATCACTGATTACCTTAATTACAGAATGATTTTCTATATAAATGAAACTGGGAGGTAAAAATAATCAAAGATTGATACATTGCTATTGTTTCATAAACGATAGTATGATTGGTTAAAAACATATATGGTTAACACTATAGAAACAAATATAGGAAAATATTTAGTACATTCTAGATATTTTGTAACTTCTGGTCTTTCATTGATTTAAAGTAGTAGTAGTAGTAGTAATAATATGCGAGATTTTTTGGTAGTTTTGGTTTTCATTAAGTGCTCAAATCGTTGATTGTTACCTTAAAAGATCACAAACTAATAAAGTCATTTTTATGTTTGATCTCTAAGATAGTATAGTTGTATAAAACAGTCTGTTCTTACGCTATCAAATGCTACAGGATCTTAAAGTGTCATCAGTTCGAAATTAAGAATTATCAGTTAAACTAAATAGGCCTTTAGTATTTGTAAAGCTGCTTATTTCAATAAACATCTTTATTTACTCTCTCACATCTTTGTAGGCATCTGACTACATAAAAGTAGTGAATAGTTCTATTTCAATCAAATAACTTATATGACAGTAGCTCTAAAGTGAAATCTGTCTCTTCTTACACTTCATTGATCCTCAAAGATTTTATACTCAACATCAATCCGACTAACCTATTTAGTTTACATTATTCATATTTCAATTGTATGTACAAGTTTAAAAAACTTCTTAAAGAAAAAAATGTAATAGTATGTAAAATAATTTTATATTTTCTCATTCAAGCGTTTCGTTCAAGTGATTAATGGTTCACTGTAATTTAATTCTGTATATTCAATGGTTTTACTAACTTTAAATTGTTATTTAAGATGATCTATGCGGAGATTTATGTTCAAAATGCGAAACCGTAAAGACTTAACATGTAAAACGTTTTTATGATTTATTAATAAGAAAATGTAGTATGTTTAAATTTCATATTAGCACTAGTTTAGACCAAATAACACCGATAAAAACTGTCATAATGAAAAAAAACCACAATCCATGGTTTATCGATAAACAACGACAATGATCTTTATAGCAGCGTGACTGTTCATTCAGTGCCTAGGATAATGTCAATGTGTATATGTATATAGCCTCCGCCAGGAAAGTCCTACTTACTGCCTTCTCACACCACGGGTGTTGTTTACGAAAATGAGAGGACGAAAAGCGAATGTCCGGCGCTTTAACCGGATTCCAAACCAATGGTGCACATGGGCTCCAGTATCCTACGGGAACAAATGGGTATGAACCAATTGTTGGTCATCGGCTTCCATGGGACTGCATCTCCTTACGATGCTCCACTGCCTTGTGGATCAGACCTTCAGGTCGAAGGCTCGGGGAGTGGCCTCCTAAGAAAACCACCTGCTTCGGTTTGGGCACCCGGGCAGTATCACAGCCCTCACGCATATCGAGTGAGATTTGTGTGGCACATATGTATTTGGTGCCTCCTTGTACCACTACTTTTAGGTCATCAATGCTAAGTATGGTGAAGAATAATATAACAAATATACAACTGTCGTACTTCAATATTTTTCATCACCATTCACCTATAATCCTACACAGGATCAAAGAAAAACCAGCCAACTCTCATATCAATTATGGTATTCTTTGATAACCAATTTAAAATTGGGTGACCTTCATTGAAACTTCTAGCCACATCATGTCTCAGTATCGTTAATGAGCAGTTGTTTCATTTTGGACACTGCTGAACCACATTAATTACGGCACCTTATCGAAATTTAAAAAATCTATGCAATCAATCTATATCAATGTAGGTTGATAATAACACCTTTCTCTTTCTCTCTCTATGAAAATAACTAATCACCATAATCTATTTGAATCTATTATTAGATAAATAATAATCGCAAAAGAATTAGCCCATAACTCATCTATAATAATAACATTCAATCTAACTGCTCATTTTTAACTCAATTGTTAATGTTTAATAAATCAAATAAACTATAAAACCTTACAATTATACCATTGTAAATGACCAATATAAAACTTAGATTATGTAATTTACTCATTCACTTCTAAACATTATAACTATCTTTACATTGAATTCATTTTATCAATGATAAGATATTTATGGAATTATCTCAACAATGCAAGTCAATATATGACTATTGATAATTCAATAAATGTAACTTTTCATGCATATAAAATATTAAAACGTAACAGAGTATGAAACTGTATACGTGCTTATTAATGTATATGGATGAATATATTAAAAAAATGTGTTGAATTAAAGATCTATTCAATAATCGAAATAACTTTACTATGGAAAAAGAAAATCAATGATTAAATATTGTAAATGGTGGAGAAGATTTGTCGCTCAGATGGATGATTTTGATGGAGTTTTATTCTTTGACCTAGATCGTTTGAACGATAAAACAAGGAACGAATAGTGACTAACTCACAAATCCAAACTTAAGAGTTATAGTATGAAACCTTTGCAGCCCATGGACTATAATTCAGTCACATCACCAAGTGATTAAAACTAAATATTTACAACATTAGATCCCGACCTAAAGTTTAAGAGATAATACGATAGGATGAGAGAGTGAAGGTCCTAAGTTTGATCACCTGTAGTAGGGTCATTCATGTGTATTGCTGAGAAGTCCTATACTAAGACGAAACAGCCATATAGTACTTCCTATGATGTTGAAATGGTGAAGAAGATTAGTAGCTCAGATGGATGATTTTGATGGAGTTTTGTTCTCTGAGCTGGATGGTTTGATCGTGGAGCTTTCATCGTTCTTCTGAACGACATCATCAGCACAAACTTCCTAATTTTTTATGGTTACGTAACTAAGATCAATTTATGATGTAACCAATGAAAGTTCAACTATCTCTACAAATCCCGTATACTAATTATTTAGAATTGTTCACATCTATCATTAACTATCTATTTAGTAATGTTTCATTAGTATTTATTCAGCATATCAATGTAACTATTACCATAAAAATGAATTAATCAGAATCCAAAAAATGCATAATTAGAACTGATCAAAAAATATTTTTACCGTTACAAATATTAAAATAAGATTTTGTTAAGAAAATTATACTAATTATATACTATTTAAAAAGTAGACTTTTTTGATGAAAGCTCTACGATCAAACCATTTAGCCTAAAGAACAAAACTCCATCAAAATCATCCATCTGAGCTTAAAATCTTCTCCACCATCTCAAGATAGACTATTATATAATACATAAATTATTCATATTTTAATTCACTGTATTGTACTCAATATTGATAATCAAATATAGATATATTTATTTAGTCTTAATTGAAATAATAAGTAGGATTTTAGAATAGGATTGCTTACACATAATTTCTTTATATTATTGTCCGGTAAATTCATTTTCTCAATTCTTTAATGAATTATTTATTACAAATTTTGTAGCCATGAGGAATTATTATTATTATTATTATTATTATTATTATTATTATTATTATTATTATTATTATTATTAGATTGCCTCTAATCATAAACATATGTATTCAAAAATGTAATTGAATTGTGCTGAAATAACTGAGATACTGTAAGCTTATTATTTAAATAATCAATGATGCGAAACATTGAAAAACTAATAAAATTTCTCAAACCATTATATATTTAGATGTTTCATTAATTTTTGACTAAATGTTCTTATGATTTACAAACTATCTTCCTTTATTTGCTTAAAATTTCAAGATTGCATAATAATTTTACGGTATAGTTACACTAGAAATCACAAGAAATTATAAAATACTTAAAGTAAAATAAAGACTATAGGCCGTCAACCAGCATTCTACATCCAAATCTGTCATGAGCAATCATTTTCAGTTGTTTCCATTTTTTGTTCATCTTTTTCATGTGTGCTTTCAATTCCCAAATATTGTGTTCATTGGCCTTTCTCTTTTTCGTTTTTCTTCAAAATTCCAAGTTAACGCTTGTGTCGTAATGCAGTTCGATGATTCACTCAATGTGTATTTTGTTCACTTCCACATTGAGGTCTTCATAATCCGGTCAACCAAAAGACGAAAGAGAAAGTGGGAGAATAAGTAGTCTTAAATGACTCCGATCCCCACTACGAATGCATCTGTCAATTTTCCTTCGTGCAAGATCATGCAGTGTCGTCTGTCACATGAATTCCGAATGATGTTGAGGATTTCCCAGCTACTCACAAAGTAGTATAGGAGAAGGTTACATAAGGTCTTCCTATCCACACTGTCACATGCTTTCTCATAATCAGCGGAGTTGATTGATAGCGGCGAGTTCCACTCAGTTGACTGTTCAACGATGATCTATGGTGTCGCGATCTGGTCTGTGTACGATCTTTCCTTGAGGAATCCAGCCTGTTGATCTCAAAGTTATGGGTCTATCGAGTCTTTGATCCGGTTCAGAAACACTTTGTTGAAAACGCTTCCTGGTACTTACGGTGATGTGATTCATCTGTAGTTCTCACATTTTCTTAGGTCTCCTTTTTTTGGTATCTTAATGAGGTATCCTTCTTTTCATTCTGTCAATACTCGTTCTTTCTCCCAAATCTTCCTGAATATGACCAACTTTTGTGTCTGACTTCAGGGCTTCAGCGGGCGAATTCTGAGGTACTGCTACATTCCCATCACTGGTTTGTCTGATGACCATCTTGATTTCTTCGGTCGTTGGTGGAGTGACAGAAATAAGGAGGTTTGAGTGTGCTGCTTCGATGTCTGGTTAGTTCAGTGGAGCTGGTTTATTTGAGAGTTCTTCGAAGTGTTCCACTTTTCTTGAATCTCAGTGATTGGCTTTCCTTCTTTGCCCTTGACCAGTCTCACTGATTTACTATATTTTCATGCCAGTTTCTTCGTTATGTCATATAGGTGTATCATATTTCCTTCTCTTGCAGCTTTTTCCGAAGTCCTTGCTAGGTCTTCCACATATTTCCGCTTGTCAGCTCCAATGCTCTTTTTCACTTACTTGTTCGATTCTGTGTATTCAATTTGTGCCTTGACTTTTTTTGTTAATTGATGTCTTCTCCTTTCTTTCTTGAATCTCGTCCACAGTTTTCATAGAGATACATTCCATATGACGATGCTTGTGACCCAGAACCTCTTGACACGTTGATTCAGTGCTTCCTTGGTCCTTTCCAATTATCATTCATGTTTGTTTCTTCTACCTTGTAAGGCTTGGAACCTGTTGTTCAGATTTATCTTGAATTCTTTGAGTTTTCCGGTATGTCGAAGGAAGGCCGCATTTAACCTCCGTAATGCTATTTCCGCAATTATTCAGTGTTTCTTGAGCCTTATTTTCATCTTGGCCACAAAGAGGTGGTGATCTGAAGCTCTATCAGATTCTATCCTGGCACTCACGACCCCATGAGTTTTTAGAGATACAAATATGATCGATCTGGTTCTCCGTGGTGTAGTCCGGTGAGATCCATATAGCTTCGTGTATGAGTGTGTGTGTGTGTGTGTGTGGGAATACTGTGCCAGCTATAACCAATTTATTGAATGTACATAGATTTGCAAATCTGTCACCTTTCTCGTTCCTTTCTTACAGTCACTGTCGTCTCATGATATTTTCATAACCGTTGTCGTCCATTCCAACTTTGGCGTTTCGATCTTTAATCAAGACTGTCAGGTTCTTTCTGAGCACTCCGCTATGATCGATTGCAGTTCTTTGTAAGACCGATCTTTGTCGTCATCATTGCTATCATTTGTGGGTGCATAACATTGGATAGCATTCATTGTAACTCCCTTCTTCTTTCTTTTGAAGGATGCTTCATTGATTACGTATCTGTGAGATTCCCATCCTTTAGGCTCATTACGTGCTTCTCTGGACAGTATCTGAGCAATTGCCTGTGTTTGCGGAGCATTTTCCTCTTCATGACCGGAGTACATCAGCATCTCTCCCGTATCTAGCCCTTGCTGTCCAGCTTGAGTCTGATGACTTTCACTGATTCCGGGCACCGTAGGCTATTTGTTTGATTTTCTTGGTCTCCCACATTGTCCGAACATTCCATGTACTCATAATAGTGGTTGCTCTGGTTGTTAGAAGGAGCATGGACATTATGACTTCCGAAGAATGTCGGCTTTGATCCTAAGGAGTCATAATTCTTCCTTTAACTTTGAGAGCCGAGTTCAAGTGGTTTAAATTGTTAGTTCTAGTTAACGTTTTTTAGCAAGTTTGTTTCGTACGGTACGGGTACCATGACGCATGCCCAACCTTCCTCCTTTGTGTGGGCTTGGGACCGGCAGTAACTCTAGAAGAGCTACAGGCAGAGTTAATATTTAACATCCTTTTGATCTTTAGTTATTGAGTCAAAGGATAAAGAACAAAGGATGTATGTAGTAAATATATTCGTAAAATCTCCTTTATAGGAAAATTCTAAGCAATTATGCACATTATGGCTAACTCTTCTAGTCAACTATTTAATTTAAATGGTAATTTGATTTAAGGATCAATTGTCGCAATTGTATTGCCTAAATTCATGTGATATTACAGTCTTGTAGTTTAATTTAATTTACTTAAACCTCGTACGAACAGAGAATGGAATTTAATCATATGACTTGACATTAATTTCAGACTAATCTCCATGGTCAACTGGAAAATATTTGCTTCCATGATGTTAAGTATTTAAATTCGCCATTATTTTTCTTAAAAGTCGTTGGAAAATAAGAACATCTGACACAGTAGGATTAAATATACTGATAATGAAATAATATTTAAGTGACTATCGATATATCTGTGATATCATGGTGAGTAGAAAATAAAATTTCCGATATTTCGTAATTAGGTATAGTATACTTCATCAGAGAGTTTAAAACGTTCTGTAATCAATCTACTCACGGTTTTATAAAACTATTCCAGTAGATTATAATCTATCATTAGATGTATTTAAGTATCAGAATACGTTATTCTAGTTATGGATTAAAGCAACACGATGTATGGTATTATAATGCCTTGACATTTAAGCCAATAGATAGCTTAAAAACTACTCAAGTTATCTTAAACTATTTGTAAGTTTATGCGTTTTTGCAGTGATTTGTACATGTTATTAACTAATAATCCATAAATTACTATAAGTCAACCCGTTCAATAACTCGACATTGTTCTGTATATATTTATTCTAATATGAATTATAAATCTGATATATATGAATATTCTTTAAGATTAGAACGAATAGTTTGACAAAAATTGGGCACCAAACATAGAGAAGTCATTATATGTGAAAATGATATTTGAAATAATCTTATTTACTAAAATTAACATCCATATATGATTAGGTTAACACAGTATAAATTTGATCTGGTTTGATTGTTAAAACGTTATATAGTTCTTTGATGATTTTGATTTTAATTATGGGAAGTTTTTTCTTAATTTTATGTGAGTAACAAAAAATGAAACTGATTTTTGATCGAGATCATGAACCAATTGATGTTAGACCGCCATTCAAAACCTGGAAGCGTTGAATGGACGTTTCGTCCCATTGTGGGACTCCTCACCAGCACATATTCACGATCCTGCCCAGTAGGATTCGAGCCCAGGACCTATCGGTCTTACGCACGAACACTTAAGCTCTAGACCACATCCAAATGGTGTTAATGTTTAACCTCAACCAATAAAATAATTCTTAATAAACATTTTTCTTTAATTTTAACCATCTAATTTTTTTAAATTTTCAGGTAACTGAAACTGAACTTGTTTATAATAATCTTTCACCAAATTATACTACACGTCTTAATTTGGAATATTGTTTTGAAGAGAAACAAATTATAACAACAGAAATGTAAGTTTAGTTTATTGAATATTTTCCTTTCTAAATAATAATTACACACTGTAGTTTTTTGTAAATTTTCATTTGTTATGGTTTGAGTTATTGAACAATGTTGATATTCTTGATTGAATTTTAGTCAGTTAGTAATTGAAACAATAAAACTATAGCTCAAATTCTTATAACATGTGAGTAATTATTGAACTAAGTGACTAAGTGAATAAAAAGAGTTGGGTGTTTGAAGTGAAAAGATTCTGGTTACAGGTTCAAATGAAAGTATTAGTAGTTGAATGAAAGTATATTCGGCTGATAATTTTTATGATAGGATGAAATGTACTTCCTAGAAATCACTGTTAACTATAATTCATTTCTTTTTACTTTCCATCATTGAATTTCATATCAATTTCTTGCCATATATGATCATAAGTTTGTGTATGAGAATACATTTAATCAATAGAGATTCTTATTTATTTATGTATAAAAACATCCTAATAACATACAAATTAACTTAATAGATGTACAATCCATTTCTTAATTGCTTCATTACAGAGGACCATATAACTTGTTATTACTAAGCATCTACTCACTGTATGTGATTAAAAATATTCAGTAAACGCTTGATGAGCATCTCAATACAATATGAGTTATTTAAAAAAACGAGATTATTAGACGTCAAGTCATTGACATGAAATTATATTTCCAGTCTCAGTGCTTGGCAAGCAAAGTCATATAGATACTAGTAGAAGGAGTTTGAAATTGGCAACCGACTGAGTATGAAATGTATTCATACTTGTCAGTAGTACTTTAGTTGACATTTGCACATAAACTTATCTGAAGAGACAGGCTATAAGTATATATATATATATATATATATATATATATATATATATATATATATATGAGTATTGTGAGTAAAAAACTTACAAAGAATATTCAACTAAAATTCCATGCTACAGTTAGTTGTATTGTTTACAATGCGAATTGCTCAAAAATGATAATTTCAACTCAACTGTGAAAGTTTTCCTTTTTTTGTTTCTATGCTTATTGAGACTTTTTGTAATAATTGAGATGATGTTTCCTTTCGTTCTAGTTGTTCAAATCAGATGAGATGAACATAGAATTCTTGACTACTTTATTATGTTTAATGTAACGATATCTCACATTGGTAGTCTATATTTACAGGCTTAGAATTAGTTCGAAATCTACAAAATTATTTTCATCACTTAAATAACAAAAATATTGGATTTTATGAATGAAATTAAAGATTGATTTATGCTAAACGATTGTACTAGTCAACCATTTAAATACTGACTTAACGTTTTGTGAGAAATTTCAAAAGTAATATAAATTGTCATTTTTCCTAATGAGTAAATTTGTACAGGATAACTTTATAAAATGCACGTAACACATAGATTTAATCAAAAAAGCATTGAGTTTGAGTCCCAATGTGAATATCATCACCGTAGCTCACAAACAATTAACTGACGAGTGCTAAACAGGAAGAAATGTTCATCCTGGGCTATACTCCTAGCCCAGCTAGTTTACCATTGTATCACCGAACGCCACCCTACCTGTTTTAACAAAAAATATTTAATATTACTACTCATGCTCACTTTATTTGACATAAAGAATTAAGTTACCTTGAATAATACTCTTTAAGTTATCCACCTTACCCCATCGAGTTTACAGAATGATTTACAGACTCGTCATTTGCAACTGTTGAATCTTTCCAAATCTACATTCATAGACAATCATTTGTAGCTAAAAATGTGTGTACCACCCTTTTATCTAACTTGGCCATCGATATAAGTTATACAGAAGTGAATCAAAAACATACGCTTTTTCGATTTTCCAAGGTTTCGTACAGTAAAACATTGTCATTGTGCCCTATATACTCTTCAACAGATTGCAATATACATGAATATCAGTCAGTCAGTCAGTAACAACGTAGAACTTCGTACGTACGTACATCAGTTCGAGTTGCCACACCACATTAGCACAGAGATGCAGTGTCGATTCAAATCCCGTAGTGGTAGAGGTAATAAGAGTATAAGCAGTAATCGGGAAGATTAGTGTTTGGAGATGTTATTTAAAGAGTATAATACAGTGAAATAAATTTGAGAGGAGAGGAAAAGAGACAAGGAGGAATAAGGAGATCAAAATTTGGGAGAACACAAAGAGTGGATGCACCTGCGCCATTGCAAACGATTTTGAGCCATGTCATTCAGGGTCTCTAACCATCGGTTGCTATCATCTCGCGGTCCCCAACCAGGTAGTCTACACCTACCAACATGACTCAGTCACTTGTCAGTGACTTCATGGACTTGTGCCATGTTTTGGTTGGCCGCCCCTAGCTTTCTTCCAACCTACTCCTATACCACTGAACATAGCACGTCGAGGCAGTCGGTCGTTGGGCATACGTAACACGTGTCCCAGCCATCTCAACTGATGAAGTTTCACTACGTCATCAATTGATTTGCCATCCTTACCTAGTACCCGTTTCCTAACAACTGTTACTTACTCGATGGTCCCATGATATACGAGCAATGTTTCGAAGACACCTATGATCAAATACTAGTAACCTACGGATATCCTCTACTCTTACCGGCCATGTTTCACTGCCATAAAGTAGGACGGAACGAACTGCTGCGCAGTAAACCGTCCTTTGGTTGATAGACGGATATCTCGCCTACGCCATAAATGACGCAAGTTGGCAAAAGCTAGTCGAGCCTTCTGTATCCGTGCTGAGATTTCGTCACACACCAGACCACAAGGGCTGATGAGACTTCCAAGATAAGTGAAGCGGTCGACACACTCAACTACTTCACTCCCTATCACTAGTTCGGGTGTCGATGTAACCCAATCCTGAAGCAACATTTTGCATTTCGAGGGAGAGAATCGCATCCCGAACATGCTTGCATTGTTGCTTAGAGTGGTCAGAAGACTCTGCATTTTGTCAGCGTCTTCACCAAATAAAACTATGTCATCAGCATATTCTAAGTCAACAAGTGAACCTCCCGGTAGAAGTTCAACCCCTGGAAATTTAGATGAGGAGAGTGTTATCTCTAAAAGTACGTCGACAAAGTTGAACAAGAATGGGGAGAGTGGACAGCCCTGACGAACACCACTTGAGGTAATCAATTCTGATGACAGTTCGCCATAAGCTCTCACTCTACCAGTTGTGTTCGAGTAGAGAGCCTTTATAAGGTTAATGTACTTCTTTGGTACTCCTTTCAGTGACAAACACTGCCATAGAACCTCACGATCAACAGAGTCGAATGCCGCCTTAAGGTCGAGAAATACTACCATTGTGGGGCGTCTGAATGTGTGTCTGTGTTCTAGAACCTGACGTAGTGTGAATATCTGATCTATACAACCACGTCCAGGTCGAAAACCAGCCTGGTTTTCTCTAGTCTGCTCTTCACGAGCTTTAGTTAGGCGTCGAAGTATTATTGAAGCTAATATTTTAGACACTATATTAGTCAAACTGATTCCTCTGTGATTGTCACAAGAGGACTTTTGTCCTTTCTTATAGACTGGCACAATCAGTGATTGAGACCAGTCAGATGGGATTACGTCCAGTTCCCAAATTCTACCTAAGACCTCAGTTAATCTCATTGCTAATACTGGACCACCATCCTTAAAAATCTCAGGAGTAAACCTGTCAGGGCCTGCTGCTCTCCCTCGTTTCAGATTTCCTATGGCTTTTTCAACTTCGTAAAGGGACGGAGGACCTACATTAACTTGCCATTCAGGTTGACTGGAGATCGTGGGAAACCGAAGTGTGGCTGAAGGCCAGTTGAACTGATCCCTAAAGTGTTCTGCCCATCGATCCAATCTCCTGGATTGAGAATGAATAATATGTCCATCTTTCTCTGAGATTGTTTCGCTAACAGTCGGTTTCCTTAACGAGTCTGAACAATTGTCTGCTATTACCTATTGCCGCTGCCTTTTCCATCTCTCTTGCTTTCGCTACCCACCACTGTTCGCGATCATTGCGTAGACTTCTTGTCAGCTTGCGCTTAAGCTGACTCCGCTCTTCATTATGTTCAGAGCCAGGTGGAATGAGTTTCCGAGCATCTATCAGTGCGATAGATGCTGCTGAGATCCAGTGTTGCTCCCTAACCTTCTGGTTTACCTTACTAGCAGATATCACTGCTGTTTCCACAGCTTTTCGGATATCATTCCATGCTGCATCGGGGTGGGCATCACATACATGGCTGCCTAACTGTTTTCCTAGTTGTTCCTGAAATATACTCTTAGCTTGACTATCATTAAGTAGGCCCTAAGAGGTTTCCTTGCAGCGTCTTTCCTACGTCCAGTAAGACGCAAGCAAATACGCGCTCGCACTAGAGCATGATCTGAATCTAGGCATGTGCTCCAGAATGAGCGACAGTCTTCTATCGAGCCCCTCCATCGGTGGCTGATAGCGATGTGATCTATTTGGGTCCAACGTTGGGACGAATTAGGGGGTCGCCATGTTAAAAGATGTTTTTCCTTATGCTTAAAGTTAGTATTTGCAAGGAACAGGCGGTTATCTGAGCATAGCTGCAACAGACGGTCGCCATTATCTGTTCTTTGAGCCACGACCATAAGATCCACCTAGGTGTCTTTCCCTATCGCTTAGTTTACCTACTTGAGCATTAAAGTCACCGGCCACTATTACTACATCCGAGCGCCTAGCTTTTCGGAGAAGGTCCGAAAGCTTTCTGTAAAACTCATCTTTTACATCATCTGAGCTGCAGTCAGTGGGAGAATAGGCAGAGACGACGAAGAGGCAACGACGAGTGTCCCTATCTTTCCGGATTCTTACTGTTCCGTTCAGTCGGACAGCGCACAAACGACTGTCTACTGGGATCCACTCTAAGAGAGCTAGTTCTGCCCTAGGACTCAATGCTATACCTACGCCGGCGAGGCCACGGGAAGCAGAATCAGGGCTTCCAGATACACGAAGCGTAAATCGAGTCGGTTCTTTATTTTGGCATGGTGAGGTCAAATGAATGACGCTACTCGGA